TATATTAGTTGCATATATTTATGTTTTATTCATTATGACAAATATCACTACAACACCCGAACTATTCAAAAAATGACACTTGTATTCTATTTTATTGAATATTCAATTTCTATCCTGAATTATATGAGTTTGTGACATTTTTGTTATGGCGTCTGATGTTGACTGTTAGAAATAATTGTTGATCGGACGAAAGTCAAACTATTGTTGACTTCTGCTGATGTGTGAGAAAAGTGACATTCATGTACATGCACGTCATTGAAATGTCATTATTTAATTTAATATTAAATTATAATAATTATAATAAGAAATATAAAAAATCTTTGAAAATAAATAAATAAATAAATAATTATTGGGTCCGGTCTTCCCAATCTCCAGTCATGGAAGAATCCACCGACTTCTTCTCTCCGGCGATGCAGATTCACCAGCAGAGACTTCTTATTCAACAGGCAATGTGCCCGCAACACCCCCAAAATGGACAATGAAAAAACGAAACCCCCCTCTGAATATCTGACATTCCTATCCAAACTCCATAGAAACCCAATGCACGATCCTAGATTTGTTGTTCACTTTTACAGTAATGAATTCTGACAAGTAACTTCCTCCACCACCACTACATAAATGTCCACCTCTCTTTCTATATCTAAAAGAAGACGACGATTCACCCTTCATCGGCCGAAAAACCCCTTGCCTCCCCGTCCCACTACGCCCGACGATTAACCTTTAATGGCCACAAATCCAATCCCTAGTGACTCGCTAAAACACAACTTCTTACAAAGGACAACTGTAACCAATAAAAGGGTCTGTAGTATAGTGGCACAAGTAATAAAATTAAAGTTAATCTAGCTTCAGTTCATTATCAAGCAAACCAGATTAAGATAGAAAAACTATAACTACTCTAGCAAACTAAAGTTAAAGCTAATCTAATACAGGTTGGGAACTCACTCATGTATGATTCCCCCTAGCTCGTCAATTAGGTCCAAGTTGTAAATTCCTTTGGTCGTTTTACTATAGATTAGACTGTGGAAGATCCGAAAAATAGCTAGGAATCTCTTAAGCTGACCAAGCCCTCTTATACAGATTATCCAGCAGGTGGCTAGCCTTCACGGGATAGAATGCTAAGGAGATTCACACAGATCTCCACTACGTGGAACGAATTCTAGTACAAAGCAGTGAATTAACTGACTCTCGTACAATCAATTCACTACTATCAATCAAGGAAGCTCTCTTAAATCAGATTGTATCTATCAAAGGTTAGAGCACAAATCAAGAGAATTTGATCAGTATTCAATTTACTCAATTAATCATGCCTCAATCTATTATAATCAAACAGTATAGTATCCAAAGGTTCATACAAGAAAGATCCTAACACTTGGAACTAGAGTTTCTCAAAACCTAAGTGAAGGGAAGTTACTCCATTGGGAAGAGAGATAATACAGAAATCTGATCTAGATATTCAATCTCCATCTCCAAGCTTGATTGGTGAGCTTCAATGGTGAAGAAATCCTCAAAATTAGCTCCAAGAATATTCCCAAGTCGTTCTCTCTCTAGGGTTCGTCCCTTGGGTGTTTGGGATCCAAAATCCAGCTTCATCCCTCCAAAAATTCATAAAACGGGATCTTAGAATATGACTTGAATTTGATTTGAGCTTTGTTCATTTGTTTTGTGTTTTGGGCCTATTTTGTTTGGGTTTGTGTTTGGGTTTTGTTTTGGCTTTTTCCTTGTAGCTTGGGAAATGTGTTTGGTTTTCTGTTTGAGATTATTAGAAGAGTTCTATAAATATTCTTCACCACCTTAATATGTAGTAAGGCAGTCAGGTTAGTTTGTTTGGTTTGTCTATTCCGCAATCTGGTTTGTAACATGGACTCTCCTCATATTAGTGAAATTGTTATCCTCTACCCGTGGATTAGCTAGCACACATTGTGTTAGTGAACCATGTTAAATTTGTGTTCGTTCGCTTTGATTTGGATTATCAATCGCATGCTTCTATTTAGACAAGTGACATCAGAGCCTGGTTGTTGATGTAATTCAAGGGAATTTGCGCCGGAATCCTTGTGGCTACTGCTGCGGAATCGAGATAGTCTTCAATTTGGATTTGCGGAGAAACCCCTTCAAGTTTTCTCCAATTTGGTTGCAGTTTTGGATAGAAAGGTCGGTCAGCCGCTTCTGGGGAATTATGTTTTGGGATTTATTAGGCGAAAGCTAAATTGGAGTTTTCTATTAGGGAATTTACGTGGATATTGGGAACTATTTGTCCACCTAGTTTCTTTATCCTACGTGGATTGTTTTGAAATTTGGATTTGGGTTTGGTGTTTTTGGTTTAGAGTTTGGCTCCAGCAACAATTGTGAACGGAGAAGCCGTATCAGATTTGTTCGCGACTGGAATTTGGGAGCCCATTGTCTGAATTGAAATTACTTGGTTGCTGAATTTGCTTGGTGTGGTATCTGAAATTTGGGAATCCTTTCTCAATTCGGAATTGTTTATTTGGGGCATTGTAATTCTGGTTCAGTGATAGTTTGTAGCATGAAGAGAATTCTATTTTTTATCCTCGGTTGTTATTGGGTCTTCGATCAGCAATGATGTTTGTTATGAATTTGAAGATCGAGAAGTCAATTTGGAGATGCGGGTTTGGAGTTGGAGGTAAATTTGATATTGGTGTTATGGACAGAAATAACACCAACCTGGTTCTGCATGGCAAGTCCCAACATGAGTTGGACTTGGTGCATGTTTTGATTTGTTAACCGCCTTTAGGGGTATTTGGAGGCAGGGGAGATTCTGTTACATATGCAGATTTGGAGAGTTTGGTACTTCTGGCAATTTTTATTGCATTTGAGTTTTCCATCGCGTTTGAGTCTGGCGATATGAATTGCATTTGGATATGTCTAGCAATTTTTATTGCATCTGAGTTCGGCGATTTACATTGCGTTTGAGTTTGGCAGTTTCGATCGCATCTGGCTATGTTTTGCCGATATGTATCGCGTCTGGGTACATCTGGAAACTTTGCTTGCATCTGGTATTTGGGAGAGAATTCAACTCAAGGTGGAGATTGTTAGAATATGACTTGAATCTGATCTGGGCTTTGTTGATTTGTTTTGTGTTTTGGGCCTATTTTGTTTGGGTTTGTCTTTTGGCTTTGTTTTGGCTTTTTCCTTGTAGGCTAGGAAAAGGTGTTTGGTTTTCTGTTTGGGATTATCTGAAGAGTTCTATAACTACTCTTCACCACCCTAATTTGTAGTAAGTTCAGCCATGTTAGTTTGTTTGGTTTGTCCCTTCCGGAATCTTGTTTGTAACATATACTCTCCTCAAATTAGTGAAATTGTTATCCTCTGCCCGTGGATTAGCTAGCACACATTGTGTTAGTGAACCACGTTAAATTTGTATTCGTTTTGATCTGGATATCAATCGCACGCTTCTGTTCAAACAAGAACTTGTCGAAATCGGGGAGCTCAATTAGTACGATATTATTCGCTTTAGGCCAAGCCCGCACGGTTTTACTCTTGGATGTCCTCCCCAAGAGGCCTCGTACTAATTGGGCTAGGTGGACACTTATATACAAGGGTCTCTTCCCTTATATTACCGATGTGGTACTTGGATTGTCCAATAATAGGGCCCTTTATACTCGCTACCTACACGTTCCACAATCGTGGAATAGGTTCACCAAACCGTGGATTTCTCCTGCTCAAAATTCACAGTCTGAACTCCTAATCCACGGTCGTGGAATTGGCTTCCAACCCATGGAAATCATTTCTCTTGTTCCCCTGTCTTGAATATCTCATTTCTCCCTCACCCGAACTCCGAATTTGTCGCCATTTGATCTCAGACGCTTGTAGTCTTGTCCGCATTCTCATTATGACAAGATTACATGATTCTTTATTCACAAAATGAGGTGTGAATATATTCTTCCTTAGATCATGCTTGAGTTTCTTCCCCCGAGTCGCCAATTGATATCCCATTCACTTGAAACTTACGCCAATCAATGAAAGTGGTGGACCGCTTGGGGAAAGAGGTAGACCACTTGATGGAAGTGGTAGACCATTTTTTTGTATAGTGGACGACCTTTTAGTGGAATAGGTTGACCGTTTGTTGAACATAGCAAAATGGAAAATAGTACATCTGGTTTACCATTCCAACAATGAGGTCGACCATTTTGTCCAAATAGGTCGACCATATCAGTGAAGCGATCGATCGTTTTGTCCAAATAGGTCGACCATATCAGTGAAAAGGTCGATTATTTTGTCGAAGTCACAATAACTTACAAGTCACCGTAGCAAATCGCTAAGTTATTTGATTGTTATATTTCATAACATAAAGGAAAGAAAAATTGTTAGCAAAATGAGTTATTTCAAATAACTAGTATGAATGTTATTTCTATAAAATCATTTTGAGTTATTTCAAGTAACTCATAACTCAATTACCATTTACCGCATTTTATGGTTTGATTGCCAATCAAGTTATTTGGGTTATTTGGGTAAATTGTATGGTTGGTCTTTGAGATAACAAAATACGTTCATGTTTGGTCACTAGAAATATTTAATTTTATTTATGGTCACTAACTTTCTACTCTCGTTTCATCAATGGTCACTCTCCGTCCATTTCCGTTAATTTTAGCTTACGTGGCAGTCAACTATCATAATTGATCGTTAAAATATGTGACGTTGAAATATAAAAAATAAAATTTAATACTTTAAAATTTCCACATCATTCTTGCAACTGTTAAAAAAATTAAATAATAAATACATAAAATTAAAACAAATTGAAAAACAAAAAAATGTTTCTAGGTCTTCACGATTCCAACCCTTTCCCAATCTACATTTGCTGTAACCCTCTTGAGAATTCCCAATTCTAATTCCTAACCCCGGTCCTCCAATTCGTCACCACCGTCGTTGTGGTCCTTTTCCCCCCTTTGTGAAAATCTGAACCCCCACCCTTTGTAGTGAAGCTGCCATCACCAACACAGTCGCGTTGCTACTCTGCCTCCGGATCTTGACTCGCTCAGTCACCGTCAGTGCAAATCAGAGCCACCAGTTGCGTCATAACCGCCCTGCCCGACCATTACCACTAGGGCCTTTGTGGGCACCACGCTGATTCCTTCTTGCAAGTGATTAAAAACGCGAAGATCGCGGTGAAGAACGGCGGCGCTGCTCCGATGGCCTGATGGAAGAAGACCGGGAGGTAGAGGAGGGAGGTTTTGCCGTAGGCGATGGAGAAACATAAGATGGCGTAGAGGGCAAAGATCTTAAAGAACTGGCGGCGGGTTCCTATTTTCCCAATCCCTTCACCATCCTTGGTTTTCCCCACAACAAATGTGACCCCTTTAAAAATGGGGCTTGCTAATTATCGCCCTAGTATTACTAAAATTGACTTGAAAGTTAAAATTACCTATTTATCCTTTTATTTTTTATATTAAGGATTATTCTATTAATAAACGCAATCAACCTTCCACCAATAACAAAATAAACGGACTCTGCCATTATCCGCCACCGCCATCCCGGCTGTTCACATTATCTGCCGCCACGGCGCCACCATCCCTGTTTTTGGGTTCTGAGTTCCGGTTTACCCCTCTGTTTCTTGTTGATTTTGAGGAGTTACATCAAGTGGATCTATTTCTCTTTCTACTATTGATGGTGGTTGTGCTGTAGCCTTACAGGATTGTATATTGCAAAAATTACGTTGTATGTGATGGTGAGCTTTTGTATAAAATCCCAGGCCGTTTTGGAGACAAATGAATGAAACTGTATGTTCATTCTCTTCACAGATGGTCTCCTTGGACCTTTCTTGCTTTCATTCTGTTATGATAAAAACATAAAACGATTTGTATCGACTCCATCGAGGACAAAAATGAAGGTGGTCGGCTGCGGAGATCATTTGGAGTGCAGGGGTTGCGCCGACGGAGGATACTCAATTTAGTGACTCTCGTTGAAGAAGGATTGGGAATTGTAGGTGGATAATTTAGTAATTGTCTGTTTTAAGTTAGGGTGATAATAGAAAATTTAGGGCGACATTTAGCCATTCAATAAATCTAACCCTTCAAACACTCAAGGGCGATCTCGGGACCGACCCGAGGCTTATACTCCCTTACAGAAAAGAGGACCTTTTCACCGCCGTCGGTGGCAAGGATTTAAACCACGACCACCACCGTCGCGGCGACGACAAACATCAGAACGAGAACCTAGTTATGAACAAGATTCACAAGTTTTGTTTTATTTATTTTACTTTACATGTCGTTTGGTACCAAATGAATCTAAAATTCATTTCATTTTAAAATGAATTGTCGTATAAAATTCATTGTCAAATGAATTCTTGTGTTTGGTATGTCATATTCAAATCTTAAGAAATAAAATGAATTGAATTAAAACCATGTTTGTCGTACGTTTGTAATTGAATAGAATTAAAAGTTTCCAACTACACCCTTACTAATTTTCGCTAGAAACAATATTCATTGAAAATCCAACTTCTAAAAAATGCTTTTGGTCCCATTCGTAGAATATCAAAGTGTTCTTGTGTGTTTCTATTCTATTCATTAGTTCTTTCGATATTTTATCAATGAACCCTACACTCTAGTTGTGGCTTCTCAACATATTGATATAATCAAAGCAGAAATATCAAATAACCAAAATATGCTACTAACGTTGCAATCAAATTCTTGCCGACGTTCCTCATACTGCATGAACTGGCGTCAAATAATACATGTAGAATTAGTTTAGTTAATAAATGTGGATAATTATGTAATTTTGTTATAATTAGTAAATTCTTGTGAAATTCATTTGGAAATACCATCTCAATTCCTCGGAATTGCTCTAACTAGCTTCAAGTTCGTAGAATTCAATATTTAGAATGGGAAATGAATTCTTTTAAATACCAAACAAAAAATGATCTCATTTCAAAATGAATTCCTTAAAATTTATAGAATTCATTTATACCAAACGGAATGTTAGTGTGAACATGAGTTGTAGTTGGAAATTTTAAGATATTTGATTTGATTTGATTTATTAATTGTTACGTCATTCAGTTAACGGTCAACTGTAAGAATTGATTGGCATGTTCGACAAAGTTCATGGAATTAGACAGAGAGTGACCAAATTTGAAATATTTAACTAATGTTAGTGACAACGAATGGGATTAAATATTTCCACTGACAAAATATGAACGTTTATTGTAATCTCTATGACCAACCATGCAGTTTACTCCAAGTTATTTTGGTGCTAAGTTATTTGGAGAGAAATAACTAGGGATGCTAACCGGTTAAGTTTTGATTAACCGCTAATTGATTGAGCGGTGAATGACTAACCACTAAGCAAAAAATACATACCAAAAACCAAACTGATATGACTTATCGGTTAACCTCTTTTTATCGAATTGGTTAGTGGTTGGTTTGGTGGCTAACCACTAACCAATACAACATCCATATGAGGTATATTACTTTTGTTATTTTGAATTTTGTATGGTGCCCTTTTTAATAATAAAATATAATCATACAAATAATTCAACGTAATTTAACTTCACTGTTATTGTTAACATAACATGATAATTATAATAAATAACATCAAAACAATACATCTATCGTGAATTCATAACACATGTCCGAATTCCAACCAATAAATTTACAAATAATCAAGTATCTCCATCCAATTAGCGAGTACCAACTAACAAGACATCAAACACTAGCAAAGGACCGTTGGAGAGTGGCTGAATCATACTCTTAAACATATTTGACACTTTTGAAGAGGGTTGTTTGCAATAGATGTGAATTGATTTTGGAATTGCGACCTTGGTTGGTTTTAAATCTTGAGATTTTTCTCCTTAGCCAAAACTCAAAACTATGTGGTTATAATAGTAGGCAATTATCGATTTAATTTTTTTATCGGTTAACCACTAACCAATGAGTCGGTTAGCAATTAATCACTATACAAAATATAGCTAATCAAAATCGATCACCAAAAGATTATCGATCGATTAACCACCAACCATCGCTAACGGTTCGGTTATCACTGGTAACCAATGGCCGACTAACCGTACCGCACCTATAATTGGCTGGGTTACTTTGGTCTTTGGCACTACGTAGACTCAAAGAAGCGTGCGCGCAGGGATCAAAACTTTAGTCAAATTAATTACCTTTGGCCAAGTAGTTGTCCCTCGCAATAAGAAACAAAAAGAGAAAACGAGAATTGATTATGTGAGTCCTTCTCATTCCCTTCATAAACAAAGGTTAAACTTTTCTTTCAACCTAAATTAAATTATGACTCTGCCTCTTTGTAGTTTATAAGTGTCAGTCACTTATTTTAATTGTGTGGCTGAAACAGCGAGTTGAGATGTGGCCTAAACCTGTCTGTCTGTAATTGTGATTTTGACTCACAGTTGGTAATTGATTTGATTCCATATTGATTAATCAACTTTAATTTCTCCCCACTAACCTATACAGCCAACAAGAGCACCCTTTGTTGGAAGTCTACGTGGCTCAATTCCGAGTCAGAATTTTGATTTGGTAGTTAACACTCAACTAAACAAAACTCAAAAAATATAGAAGGGACCTCCTACCATGCATTGAAGTTACTATAACTTGACATTTTTGATCTGCTATAGCAGATTTTATAGGTCGCATTACGTAAGTAATGTTTATTACGTAACAATTACGTAATGCTTGTTAGTCTTACGTAACAGTTAAACTAGAAGCGTTACGGAAGGTTTCCGTAATGCCTTATCAGTTTACGTAACGCTAGGTAAATATTCATTACGTAAAAGCATCGTCTATTACGCAAGGCTTCCGTAATGACATTTTACAAAGGTTATATAAAATACACACTCATTACGTAAAAATTACGTAACGAAGGTTATTTTGTACGTAACAGTTAAATTAGAAGCGTTACGTAAGACTTCCGTAATGACTTACCACATTACGTAACTTGATTAATATTCATTGCGTAAAAGGACCATCCATTACGTAAGACTTCCGTAATGACATTTACAACGGTTACATAAAATACACACTCATTACGTAAAGATTACGTAACGAAGGTTATTTTGTACGTAACAGTTAAATTAGAAGTTTTACGTAAGACTTCCTTAATGACTTACCACATTACGTAACTTGATTAATATTCATTGCGTAAAAGGACCATCCATTACATAAGGCTTCCGTAATGACACTTTACAACTGTTACGTAAAGTATGCATCTATTACGTAAAGGTTACGTAACGATAGCTATTTTTTACGTAACATTTAAATTAGAAGCGTTACGTAAGTCTTCCGTAATGATTTAACAAATTACGTAACGAAAGGTTAATATTCATTACGTAAAATGAGTGTCTATTACGTAAGGTTTCCGTAATGACATTTTTCAACTATTACGTAAGATAAACACACATGTAACCATTACGTGATGCCTATTGTATTTTACGTAATACAACTTGTGAAACCTATTATAGCAGGTTAAAAACATCAAGTTACAATAACTTCAAGGTATTGTAGGAATTCCCAAAAATATAAAGAAAATGAACATTGCATACAAGGGTAACTATTACTAAACTTTGATAGTACGAGACATTTTGAAAGAAATTCAAAAATAAATTTGTGTAGATTTAGTTTAAAAATGAACAATATAGTACTAATGAATTAATTAGTTTGAGCAAGTGGTATCTAAGTTTGATTCATTTTCATAGCGGTGAGCCTTCATTCCATGACCATGAATTTGAAATTTGTGTTTTCTCTGACAAATCAACTAAATCCTTCTGTCAAAAGTCTATTTATATAAAGTATCTAGCAGATCAAGATAATTGACAAGGAGAGTACACGAAATTTATGTTCTTTTATGGGGGGATTGTATGCGGCAATCCAAATATCACTTTAGAAATACAAGGAAATGATTATTGTATATAAGTGTTCACCAAACTCCATTAGTATAATAGATTTTGAGAAAGAACCCAAAAGTAAAATAGGACAAGCTTGACTCAAAATTAGACAATATCGTACTAAGCCTGTCTCCAATGCAGCCTGCAAAAATGGGGGAGGCGGCAATTTTGGGGAGGTGGAGCTCCAATGGGACTCCATAAATGGGGATGGGCGTCAATTTTGGGGAGAATCGGCAACTCAATCGGCAGATTTGGAGGAGGAAATGTCAATTGTTGCATAATTGGGGAGTGGGCGTCGGGCTGGGCGGGACAACCGCCAGCGCTGGGTAGTGCACCGCACTCCCAAGGGAGAGCCTGTCGGCTGGT